TTGAGGCCCCGCTCCCCGATCTGCGGACAGGGACAACGCTACTGCCGTCATCGGGCCACCCTGCGCTCTCCCCTAGGATCGACCACCTCAGGGCAGGAAGCCCCTCCCAGAGGCGGGCAAGACGCTGTGAGATTTAGACGGTTCAGGCGAGGGCAGGAAGGCAGCCTTCGCGGCGTCTGCGCTGCAGGCCCCTCCAAGCACCATTTGGCCTTTGCTGTTCTGGCTTAGACGCCTGAAAGAAGTAGCCGCCTTCGGCCGCTGTATGCGCAGGCGTGGGCGCAGGACAGGCGCACCGCTGCCGCCCTCACGCCTCCCTCCGACTCGCCACCTAGCTCCCTGTCTACTTCCCCGCACGGCCCAAGCAGGGACCGCCTGGCTTTAAATGTCCAGTTATGACATTTTCTGAGCCTTTTTCCCACAAAATAACCCCTCGCCTTTGCACAGATCTCCCAACTTTTCAAAGCCTGATCTCATCTCTTATCTCTCCATCTCCCGCAACCCAGTGAAGAGAGCAAGCTGCTTGATTATCAGCTGATTCAGGTGGGGAAACTGAGGCACCGTAGGCCTGTTACAGTCCCGTAGCCTTCTCTGCCTATGCCAGGGCACACACTCCAGCCCCCCGAGCTCCTGGTGGAGTCCAGTGAGCCCGCAGCCCACTCCAGCGAGACTAGGCAGATTTGCGCGGCTTCATTCTGCAAACGTGACCCGCGTTGGGGTCTGTTGCGAATGCCAGCGTCTTTCCAGTTATTTCCTGGAGTGACAGAAGGGCGATCGTCCAGCCCTACGGCTCAGAAGCATCTGGAGCACCTGTGGGCCCAGGAGTAAAAGCAGCAGAGAAAGACTCCTGCAAAGCCCCGGGGCTCCTGTTCTGGGCTCTGAGTCCCCTCTTCCCTGACCAGGAACAGCCGGACCGAGTTCCTGTGCCACCTGGAGGCTGCCTGCACTTTCCAACGTGCAACACGTGAGAGAAAATGATCCTGGGGAAAGGCGCACTCTGGGGAGAAGAACAGTTCCTGCCCACGGCCACGCCGCTGGCTGGTGAGTTCCAAGGCTGGACCGGGACAGAGGCCATCATCCCCTCCAGGAGAAGTCCTAAGGGACAGCTCTGACCCACACCGGGCAGGTATGAGGTGTCTCCTTCCAGATCCCCGGAGCCCTCAGGAGGACAGCCCTCCCCACTGCGGGCCGTCTCCAGGGATTGGACATCCCGGCACGGAGCCGTGGTCACCACGTTTAGCACCCTGGCTGGGCTTATCCCCCGTCGCCTCGTGGGCGTGCAGAAGAAAGCCAACCTCTGTCCACCCTGACTCCTGGCCAGAAGAGGAACTGGAGCTCTTGGTCCTCACCAGCCCAGCGTGGCGCTTCCTGGGTGCTCGAGCCCCTCGGAGGAAACCCAGACAACACCGTGGGCGAAATTCAGAGGCTGACTGAAGCCAGCAGTCTAGCCCTGGTGAAGGGCGGCACAGGCTGGGGGAGGCGCCACAGCCATGGGAAAGCCCCGGCTTCCTGCATCTTTGAGGAACTCCCCTCTCCTCAGGCTGCTCCTCCTGGCCACCGCTAGAGCATCTGAAAATGCTGGCTGCAGCATCCCGTAGCCACGGCAACCTCACTTGTTGCCATCCCCCACCCTCACCCCAGCTTAACTTAGGCTTGCAAGACAATGAGCCTTGCCTCCTGCCCCCAGACCAGGCTCCTGTTTACATGTGCCCCACGTTCCCCACGGTGGGAGGAGGGTGAAGAAGACAGGAGTCCTCTGCCCTGCCCAACAGGGCTTTCAACAGAGGTCAGCCCCATGGGACCTCTCCTGCGGGAGGGGACACACACATGCACACACACGAACACACACACGCACACACGCACATCTCCGAGGACTCCCCGTGGAGAGGGGAGAGGCAGATGATGGGAGAGAGGGGAAACCTGGCTTGTCTCAGGGTGGAGGGTCTCGGATTCCGACCAGGCGTTCAGTACCTGTTATGTGGGACTGGCGCGGCCAGGACTGTCCCCACCCTGCCACATCCTCAAGTTCACTCAGGTTTTGGCAAGATTCATGCTCCTAAGCCTGAGAGAGTGACCCTGAGCAGAGGGAGCTTCCCCAAAGCCTGAGCCTTGGCCCCAAAGTCCTGGCTTCAAGCCCCTTCCCCCTGGGGTGTGATATCTGGGGCCACCACCCCTGTCATCCCTGCCAAGATGCCCCTGGCTTCGAGCCTGCCCGGCCCTGCTGGAGGAAGGATGGGGTCTGAGTCGCTTCCCCGGCTCCCATTTCCTCACCACCGGAGCTCAGAGCCAGAGGAGGTGCCCAGGGCCGCCCTAAAGGTGGGACTCGAGTTCCTGGAGAATCTGCACTCGGGGGAGGAAAGGTCCTGGCCCCACATACAGGGAGGAGCAGGAGGCTCCTGGGAGCGGCTGTGCCGGGAAACCGTGTCTCGGTGTCCCCTGCTCCCTCCCCGTCCTGTCCAGGAGAGGCAGGTTCAGGCAGGAGAGGGGGCTCTGAGAGCACCAGATGCCACACGTCCGTGTGGCCTCCCGGACTCTGCTTGCTCCCGCACCTGCAGCTGCTGGGTCACCAGGACAATGGTCTTCCCCCGGAGCATCTTCTTAATGCACTCCTCAAAGACGAGCTTCCCCACGTGGGCGTCCACGGCCGACAGGGGGTTGTCCAGCAGGTAGAGCTCACGGTCGGCATAGACGGCTCGGGCCAGGCTGATCCTCTGCCTCTGCCCCCCGGAGAGGTTGAGGCCCCGCTCCCCGATCTGCGGACAGGGACAACACTACTGCCGTCATCGGGCCACCCTGCAGTTCTTGGAGAACGGCAGCTCCCCGAAGCTTCTCAGGATGCAGAGGAAAGGCACACAGACTGGTCGTGAGCACATCCAAGCCCCCCACCGCTGACGGGGCCCCCGAGCACACGAGACCCTGCGGCGGGTGGAAGAGCGCCACTCCTCCCCTTCCCTGGAAGCCACGTGGACAGTGGCACCTGGGGAGAGCCCTTCCCAACACCGAGCAAGGGGGGCCTGCCGCCTGCCGCCCCATCCCAAGGCACACCCCACGGGGAGGACCCTTAACACCAAAGGGCGTCGTCTGCGCAGAGGCTCCGGGAGAACCGAGCAGTGACCCGGAGGGGACGGTTGCTCGGAGCAGACAGAAAAGGGTTTACTGGGGAGCGACTGTCCCCCCAGGCAGCTCTGCGCTCCACGAAGAGAGGAGCCTTGTCTGCCATGTTCGTCATCGCACCCCTGAGCCCTGGCACCGCGCCGGGCACGGAAATGTGCTCAGCAAATATTTACTGGAAGGACGAAAAGCCTGGGTTGCTTACTCCGGGAGACTCTGTCCGGCCAGACCCAAAGTGAACCCCGTGTTCAGCCAGGCGTTGAGCTGGGCACCAGGGTTGGGACACATGAGGCTGGGCAGGAAAAGTCCCCCATCCACGGAGCCCACAGTGTAGCAGGGTGTCAGCTGTATACATAATAATGGCACAAAGCAGAGTTTAGCAAGTGCCAACTGAAAAGCGTAAACCAAGTTCTTGGGGCAAAGTACCTCAGCCCATGTGACTCTGGAAAACCTTCCTCAAGTAGGGGGTTGGGGTTGGAACTTGAAGGGTGGTGACAATAGCAGGGCAGAGACTCAGAGGGCAGGAGGCGAGTGGACACTCTGGCGGCAGGGAGGGGTGGGCAGAAGCCCGACCTAGAAGGGACGGCCAGGGCTGCCGGTGGAGTCTTCGAAAGCCGGCCAGGAGGTCTGTGGGGGCCGCTTCCTGCACGGGCCGGTGGAGGGCACAGCAGAGAGGGGCAGTGTGCTCTGGACTGGCCGTCTGGTCTCCCTGGGGCTCCCGGGCAAGGTGGGGAAGGCTGTGCAGGACGGGGACACAACGAGAGGGCAAGATGGTGCCCCTGGATCACGTGAGCTGGCAGGCTCCGCCGCGGACTGAGCCAGAGCTTTGGACAAGCACCCCAGGGGCCGTGTTTGGAGGTTACCCCTACGCTCCTGGCCTGGGCAGAGCCAGTGAGATGCCAGCCACATGCGGTACCCCTGGACCCTGCTTTGGGGGACAGAGCCAGCCCTCAAGGTGAGGAAGCCGTTTTCACCAGAAACCTCTCCTGGATGACAGGCAGATTGGGAGCAGCCGGGAAGTGACCGCACTGTGCCAAGCACGAGCGGGCTTGGGGCCACGGCCGCCGTGGTGTCCCGCAAGTGTGGAGCTCAGGATGGGCAGAACCTGGGCTTTGCCACACTTCCCAGGACAGCTCTGTCCCCGGAGCATGTGGCCCTGGGCAAGCGGCTGCCTGTGGCTGCACCCCCAGCTCTGCTCACCTCGGTCAAGTCTCCGTAAGGGAGGCTGCTCAGGTCCTTCTGGAGGCCACAGACGCGGACCGTGTGCTGATACCTGTGGCGACAAAGGCCGGGAGTCAGCAGGCTGGGAAAGCCCACGACGCTGCTGCCCACGCCGCTCCTGCGGTGCTGCCCGTGTCGCCAGGGCGAGGCATGAGCAGCGGGTGCCGTGTTCAGGCTCTCTGGACTCCTGCTCGGTCTTCAGTGTCCCAAGGGCAGCGACCCCTTGGCCCCTGGGTCCCTCCCCTGCTACAGTAAAATTGCAGAAATCAGAACAGTGAAACGAAGCCCAAACTTCGTCCGCACATTCCTCCAATCAAGGACAGCGACTGATCTTTGTGTCCCCAAGCTCTCACAAAAAACTGTGCCTGTCACTAACATTCTCACCCGCCCTACCCCTCCCCTCCCATCACAGGGCTCCCACCACACAGGCAAGAGGACATCGGCACACGGGAAACCCCTGAAGGGAGCACTGTGGGTGCCGACTGCCGGCGCTGCCAGTGGGAGCCGGGGCGGGTCACCACGTGGGCCGAGGCCGCTGGGGAGGGCTGCCTGGAGGGCTGAAGCCAGACCACGAATGGAGGAGAGGAGGTGTGTGGGGGGAGGCTGGCAGCACAGCCAGGTGATCACAGGTGGTGGCCATGCCATCTGCCCGGCACCTTCTGCTCCAGAAAGATGCTCTACCCGCCCGTCACTCCTACCTGGCTGCAGAGAACAGGGTTTCCTTCCCCCGGGACAGCTGCGGACGCTGGGGCAGAGAGTGCTGCCTAAGGGGACGAGGCTGAGCGGGAGCAGCACCTCCTCCTTGGGCCTCCCGGCCTCTCCGCTCTGCCCCCTCAGCATCGCGCTCGGCCTAGCCCTGGGGCCCAGGCGCGGGGAGTCTGACAGACCTGCCCCTCAGCCTGCAAAGGGCAGCCACGCCGAGGGCTCAGCTGCACAGCCGCCCCACCGGGCATGACCCCTCCACTGAGGGAGAAGCCCACCCCTGGGGACTTCAGGCACCGAGGGATCTAGGAGCGTCAGCGGTCAGTGAGATGCGCGGGCTCCCCCAGCTTTCTCTGCACCGCTAACGCACCCAGACCGCCCGGCGCAGACAGACTCTCCCCCAGGCGTCGCAGCACCCCGCACGGACGGCCGCCTCGGATCCGGCTCCTGCTCGGAAGGCCTGGCAGCCGTTCAGGTTTGTGCCCCATTCAAGCAGCTGCCCCGCGACGGACCCTAGGTGTCTCTCCCACTAGGCAGGTGACCTGCCTCCGCGGAGTGTGGCGGGTTGACTGATTGATGGATCGACCAATATCATTAGCATCACGGGACCCTCTTTCCTCAGCGCATGACGATGGGCAGGCCTCACAGCTCAGGCCTTGCAAGACGCACCTCCCAGCGAAGGGGCAGCAGCAAGGGAGAAAGCCGCAGAGCGCGAACGGCTGTCCTGCAGGCTCTTGCCACTTGGCACGTTCCTCCTTGGTGCGCTGTCAGTTCTGAGCGTCTCTCGCAGCCCCTTCCAGACTTAAGCACCTTAGGGCCAGGATACTCCTGAGCCATCTCTGTGTCCCCGTGGTGGCCGCCATGCTGCCGGCATTTGGTGAATATTTGCCCCCTGAAGGTCCTTATTGACGAATAAAGGAACCCTCCTTCCTGCCTCCTTCCTTGGAAAGAGAAGGCATTCCGGGGGACGGGGGAGGCACGGGCCGAGGGGCTGGGGCCAGGACACGCTGAGCAGAGCAGTTTGGCTGGTGCCAAGGGAGACCTTCCTGCCACACCTGACCCTCCTGGTGACAGGACATCACGGCCAGGGAGGAGGAGGTGATGTAACAGCCTCTTGCTGAGAACCCACATGCTGGCCAACGCCAGCCGGCAGGGACAGTTCGTAGGTTCAGACAATAAGATGAGAAAGGACAAACCACCAAGGGAGAGGTGACAGCCAGATTCCTAAGACCAACCCCATCTCTCTCACTTCAGCGCTGGGATGCTTGGGAGGTTTCTGGGTGACCCAGCTGCCAGGCAGCCCCAGCGGGAACAAATGACGCTGGTCCAGAGTTCAAGACATAAGTCCAAGACTTATCCCATTTGCTGTTTGACATTTAATGGCATTTAATGCCTCAGGTGGGTCAAGTCACCTTTCTGGGCCTTAGTTTCTTTACCTGTAAAACCAGGATATGTGCCAGGATCCCCTAAACAGGTGGCCATCGGCCCTACATGACAGAACACACGTGGCAATGCCACACTCGGCAAAGAACCACGGAAGATACTGCTTTCCACAGTTTAAAAAGAATGGTCCAGGGTGCATCAAACAATTATAACTTGGTTTTTGTTTCACTAGATCATTCTGAGGACACTAACAGCAACATATGCTGACAGCTCAGATGTCAACTAAGAGCGTCAGGGCTGATTCCTGATACTTGCCACTCACGATCTCAAGCAAAGTTTCGGTTGCTCAGTCTAAAGCGAAATTGCCAGATTCATTTTTCCCTAGTCAGACAGCACATGCCCTCTAACAGAGAACCTCGGAACACGTGCTACTCTGCCCTGGGCATAAGGTGCCGGTTCTGTTCTCTTCCCATGAGCAGTCCCATGTCTGCAGAAGCCGCCTCTGCCGAACTCTGGGTCGAGAAGAGAAAACCCAGTGCCTGTGTGGACCTGCTGCATGTTTAACCGGAAATCGTTAAGCACCCACTTAGCAACCACTACCAGTGGCATCGGCATCTGTAGCACAGTGCACCAGACACTAAAGGGCCTCGTGCTTTAACAGTCAGTATTACCTTTGGTGATCATACTTTTCTCCAAATAATATGTTTTCTCTCACGGTCCCGTGAAAGATCCACGGCTGCTGGGAGACGTAAGCCACGGCCCCGCTGACAGCCACGATCCCTCTCTGCAGCTGCATCTGGAGCGACAACACAGGGGACCTTCAGAAGCAGCCCCGCCCCGAGGACTTTTCTTCAAGAGCCCAGTGCTCATTCCATGAGCATTGATTACGACGGTGCAAGACGTCAACAGGACGTCTTGCCCACCTGCCAGAAAGCCCAACTGTGCAGATGGAGGGTCTCAAAGTCGAACCCCTGCAAGGGGCTAGGCAGGGAGCACGAGAGAAGAAGCAGCGGTAAGTCCCGCTGCAAACTGGAGGGCACAGGCCGCGGGGCTGCTCCAGCACACGGCACCCGTGCGCCAACACGAGATGCCTTCTGAACAGACCAACCATGAGAGGCCCTTCCTCCAGAGGCACTGGCTGGATCCGACCCTCCTCAGCCAAGCCCCAGGAGCAGGGCACAGCCTGCACCACCGTGGACGGTGGCCCTGGCATGCCCCATCTTAAGGAAGCAGCCTCAACCAGGTTGCGCGGTGGGTGCCGTGCAAGGACAACGGTAGACGTTAGCGGTGATGCAATGTTCAAAGCTGTCAGGAGAGGGGATGTGCCAGGCAGGCCACAGTGCCCAGGGCTGAGGCTCGTGGTCAGCAGCAGCAGTGTGTCTGAGAGCAGGGATGGAGCAGCCAAGGTGGTCAAAGGATGCGATACCATTTCACCTCAGGAATAGTCCAAGGGACAGAGAATTCAACGTGGAGAAGAGACAGTGATAATAACAATAACAGTAACATGAGTAGTGGCTGAAATGTGTAGGGCACATTCCATGCGCTGTGTTAAGTATATAATAGATGCTTATCCCCATGACTGGCCTTGCAAATTATCTTATAACCAACTGTTGCATGAATTATCTCCTTTCATCCTCACCACAACTCTCCTTAGCCCCATTTTACAGATTTGAGGAAACCAAGGCTCTGAGAGGTTAAATTACTTCTCCACCGTTAAACAGTGAGCACATGGCCGAGACATGGTGGGTGAACCCAGGCCAGCCAGAGTGCCATCCTACCTGCCCAGTGACCACAGGCAGAGGCCTGATCCCACCACTCTTGCGTGGCAGATAGATTCTATTTTTCTCTGAAAAGTTCCAAAGGAGCAGACCAAAGGATAGAAGTTAAAAGGAGGTAAGTTTCACTCCAATATACGTCAAAACTCTCCACAGAGGAAAGAGGCTGTGAAATAATGAGTTCTGCACCACGAGATATCCGAGCAGAGGCTGGAACATCTTTTATATAGGATGCCATCAAGAGGATCACATTATTAGGCATAGGATTGAGCTGGGTCACCTGTGCGGCACCTGCCAACTCCAGGATCATCGCAGAGGCACACAAACTGAACCCCAGAGCATGGGTGACCTCAGGAGCTCACCCAATTCAGCCCCTGCCTCCACCTCCAGGCAGGAAAGGAGTCATCACTCTTTCTACAGATGAGTCGGCTGAGGCCAAAAGAAGTCACTCGCATTGGAGCTCATAAGACACATCCCCCACCCTGTTTGGCACCCCTTCTGAGCCCTTCCGAGCCTGGTTTCTTCAGAGGTATCTTTCTTCTTGCTTTAGACAGTCCAGACTGCCCAAACTTCTCTTTAGGAACAGTGGAGTGAGGAAAAAGAACGTAATCCTTTTTTCCCAGAAAATTTCTCATTCACATGGGATGCAATCAAGAAACCATGGCAACATAGAGGCCTGTGAATACAGTAAATGGGGTCACCCAGCTAAAGGTAGCAGAGAAGGGACAAGAACCCAGGTTCCTCTCTCTTCCCACAGCAAGGTTTGCAGAGAAGTTGGGGGACGTGCTACTTCGGTTCACGCACGGATTCACCACCCTTCGCTGAGGCAGTGGTCGAACATCTGCTCCGGCAGACGCTGGCGCAGGTGCTGGGCATGCGGAGATGAACGAGGCAAAAATACATTGAGAGTCACTGTGGGTCCCAGACTTCCAGGGCCTTCCCCACCAAGCGGCCGTGCTGGCTTTCCTAAATCAGGACAGCCTGAGTCACGGGAAAAACCAGGGGTTTAGTGACCCATCTCTTCCTCTGACCCAGAAAGCGGTCACCGTTCAACACCCGTCCTCGGGGACAAACGCAGGAGTGTGTGAAAGCTCAGCCTTGTCTGGCGAAGGGGTGTGGAGCTGCCAAGCGTGTTAACCTCGCGAAAATGGTGGTGAACCCCACCACAGTGCCGCCGAGATCACCCACTGGGCCCCCGGCTCTCAGGACCAAGCCCGGCGGGAAGGGACCATTTCCCTGTCACGCCAACGTTCCGTACCCAGGGCACTCACCCAGCTTACCTGTCCCAGGAGAGCTGCGATGAGGGAGCTCTTCCCACTTCCCACATTCCCGCATATTCCCAAGACCTCTCCCTGCCGGAGAAATAGAGATAAGACACAGTCCCTCTCCCAGCTCTTAGAGGGGCTTGGGCCAAAGGTGTCACTCCCAAACTGTGCTGGCCAAGCCAAGCAGGGACCAAGGAGTCACTGCTGGCTCTGTGGGGTGGCGGCTGCTGCCTCACACACCAACCTCGGTACACACAGCCTGGGTGGACACAGGAGTGTGAGTCTTAACTAAGTGCGTGCGCTGGCGCAGCGTAGCGAAGGGCCCAGAGGGCTTCTGGACATCACATGTGATCACTCACGTGAAACAGCCCCGTGCTGGTCTGGGAGACACAGGCCCTGGACACGAGGGCCGTCCTGTGCCCAGACTCCAGAAAGGCAAACCCGAGGGGAGGGGAAAGGCTGCACAATCCAGGGGACAAGCGTAGCCTTTGAAGAGTGGGCAGCTGAGCGCTTTTCAAAAGTCATTTTTTTATAGATGCCTTTACAATAACAACTCAATCGGAAACAACCACGCAGTTAAAATATTCTAACAGGTTGGGTTCATGGATTACTCTACAGCTGTAGATTTATTAATTCAACCAACAAACCCTTACTTGTTACTACCAGAGCCCGCTCTGTGCCAGCAAGAACACAACGCAGCACGAACACGGCAGACGGCAGTCTGGGCTGCCCTCGCAGAGCTCCGCTTGGAGATGGAGGGGACGGGCGGGAGGCAGGAGACGTCATGAAACGTGGGGCACAGTGACGCTCGCCGGGGAGAAAAACACAGCCGGGAAGAGACAGGGAGTGGGGGGACGTATGGGGGGCACAGAGAAAGCCCTACTGGAAAAGCTGATGTCTCGGCTTTAGTCCTCCTCGAATAGAGGATCTGGCTGCCAGGGGCTTGTTTGGGAGGTGCAGGGAACAGCAGGAGGGAAGAGGGGAAGTGATACCGGAAAGGGAAGGCGGCCCATAAGGAGCGTCCTATTAGGTCAGCTCGCTCACGAGGCAGATGAAGCTCAATCCTGCAGGGAAACTGAGGATAGTCTCAGCCTACCCAGTGTCCGAGGGCGTTGGGGTGTTGCCACCCACGGTCACTGTTTGAGGGCTGCTCCTAGGCTGTTACCCAGCACTCTGCGGGTGCCGTGCAGAGCCCCCGGCACAGACGCGCATCTGGCAGTTGGGAGACAGAGCACAGTGAAGCACATGGGCGTGGGCAGCATCCGCTCCAGATGGCGTCTGAATAAAACCCGAGTGAGGCGAGGGGGGGAGCCGCAGAGGTACCTGGGGAGAGCCCCTGCGGGCAGAGGAGAGCCCACGCGGGCACGCCGGGGTGGAAGCGTGGCCCCTGCTGTGTTCAAGCAGGCGGTGCAACACGGCAGTTGGGACACCCAAGAACGCTCGCGTGTAGACCTGCTCCCTGCAATCCCTTAGGGTGAGGAGGCCCAACATGGGGCCAAATGTGGCTCCTTTCCCAGCCCAGGCTACACCAGAAAGGCGCAGTTCCTGTCCGCCACTCCCAGCCCACGAAGGCTGCCGCCTGTCATCAGTGATTCCTTAGACAAGTCCTTACTGAAAGCCAGGTGTCATCCCAGGCACCAGGGTAAGACGGTGATCGGTGTGGCTGCGGTCCCCACCTTTACGGAGCCCACATTGTCGTTGAAGCTGCATGTAAATGAGGCTGATTCTTTGTAATTCCACTAAAACGACTTCAAGGGATTGGGGCGTCATAGAGACTTTGGGACAAAGAGACCACAGGTTTGGATCCAGCCTCACTAGGTACTTGGCTCTCCTTTGAGTCCTGTCTACTTCCTGGGGCCAGTAAGAGCCTTCTAGATTCATCTTTGCCTTCAGCAGAAAACCCATGAGGCCTGCATCCTCTGAGCTTCTGATTATTTGTTCATTCAGCAAACGTTACTGGGAACCCCTGAGCCAGGTGCTGGGCTTGGTGCTAAGGACGTAACCGTGAACAGCACACTCTGAGTTCACGGAGGAGGCAGTCTACTGGAATCATGGAGCAAAACTTGGAAAAACTCGGATGCCCTGAATTTAGGCCATTTGAGGGCGGCACTTAAGCTGAAAATGATGGTTGAAGGAAAAAGGTGACAACAATAGCTAACACAGTTGAGACTTACTACGGGCTTAGCATTTTTACATGGTACCTCAGTTCTCACAACCGCCTTGGGAAATGGTACCGTCATAAAATCCAACACACCCGAGGTCCAGCAGCTGGTAACTGAACGGACGGGAGGTCCACCAAGCTCCAGAAACATACCCTGAATCCACAGGACATTGTGTTGTCCCCACTGTATCTTCAACTTATTTCACAAAATGTTGGCCGTGTCCCTGATGCACTAATCCAGGCATTACCAATGCACTGCAAAGAGCATTAGGAGTGAAGCCATCGGAGGGAAAAAGCAGCTTCTTTAGAACACAGAGCAGTTCACTGAGGCCTCTCTGAAACAACTGGGAAGGTAGGTGCTGCACCACACAGGTGCGGGGACAGGAAGGAGAAGGCAAAGTGAGTGGTACTTAGCAGGACTTAATTGAGATCTGAGCTCAGCTGCACTCAGCAGACCAAACAGTCCCAACGAAGACGTGGCCAACAGCCTTGTTACCTACAAGAGGTACCGTTCTCGTGCCGGCGATTGAGCTCGACAGTGCATGACAAACAAGACCCTCCCCTAGAGCGCTCACGCAGGGAAAGGGCCAGTCAACAAGACGGGAGAGTAAAATGCTAAGCACAAGATCACGCTGAGCCCTCGGCACAAAATCAATGCTGTCCCCCCGGGAGCTGCTGCCCCGTCCCCGGCACAGGGAGAAGATGTGCGGGGGAGAGGCAGGAGAAGGCCAGACACTCCTAAATCCACAGCTTCGGCTAAAACTCTAGCCCCCAGGCTTGAGGGGCGGGAGCAGCAGACAGTCCTGGCTGGCTTGGCCGGCTGTGCTCTGGCGACCTCTGCGGGGCTGCCTGTCGGTCTCATTCTGCTCCTCACTAGAGCCGCCCTGCGTGGCGGTGAAGAGCACAGACTCTGGCGCCCTGGGCGTGAGGCCCTCCCCTGCCGCTCGCCAACCAACCGTGCGCACTTGGGCAGGTTACATAACCTTCTTCAGCCTCGGGCTCCTCGGTCCCAAGGTGGGGCAGTTGCAGTGCCGCCGCACACGGTTTCGGGGCACTAAATGAGGTAACTGCGTACCTGGTAAACAGTAAGTGCTCATAATCTTCAGTCATTATTATCTATCACAATACTGCAATGTGGAATCAAGAGCAGATCTAGAAAGACTTATGAAAGCTAGTCAGTTACAGCCCAGCTGCCTGAAGGGGACTGTCCACTCAAAATTGCAACCGAACCCAAGGGAGGCGTTGGAAGTCAATACTAATATAACCACTCTCCCTTCTCTGAGCTTGACGAGGATGTCTATGAGGTTCTTGTACATAGTTTTAAAATTGGGGGAAAAAACAGAGACCCTGGTTGAAGATATCCCACCACCACCCCAGTTCTAACTGAAGTGTCTTAGGCCACGAGAAGGCCACAGCTGTGCAGCACAGGGAGGAAGGACGGAGCACACACCCACCTTTCTAAGCACAAAGCTGATGTTGCACAGGACTGATCTGGGGCCGCCGCTTTGTTCCTCTGCGCCAGCGACTCCCTGGGCTGGTGGACTCCAATCACTGCCTGTCTCCGGCCTCCGTTTCTTAAAAAAATGTTTTTTCTTATTCTTCACTTTCTTTAGGTCACTTTTCCTGCTGGCTTCTTGTTCCCACGTCAAGGTGGCATTTGCTAAAAGCAAGACAGTATCCGGGTCTTCTGGTTGGGTGATGTAAGATGGGGGGCTTTTATCTATGAGAATTTTCTAAGATTAAAGAGACAAAATTAACTGGGTAGACATCAGCCATTTGAAGAATCATCCCAGTATATATTCTAATGACCCCAAATCACAGTTTTGGCAATTCTACCGAGGACGCCCAGGAAAGAGATTCTGCAGTTATTTCCCTCAGGAGAAGCTGCAGCGGAAATGGTTTGCTAGCTCCTACCATCTGGGGCAGATGCCTCTTCAGCCACAAGGCTCATGTGGGTCACGCAGTCGGAGAATCCAGCTACGCTTCACCCTCGTGCCCAATGTAGTCAGCCTTGCCAGCCTGGGCGGTGGACTTCGCTGTTTGGCACAAATGGCAAAGACCCAAAGAAACCAAGATCATGTGCTCAGTCTCTGCTGTGTCCTCATCCTAGGTTCCCTCTAAGCTCGGTTCGACAAAACATTTGCCGAGTCTCTACCTTGTGCCAGACTCTGGGGCAAACAGCAGAAATGCAAACATAAATAAGGCATTGTTCCGGTCCCTGGAGAGATTACGATCTGCGAGGGGGAGATGGGAACAGGCGCAGATCGTTTCAGCGAAACGTGACGTGGACAGAGCACTCTGACTGCCGGGGAAGGGGCGCTCGGCACCCCATCTCGGAGGTGCACGTGGCTGGTGTCAGCTGAGTCTGGAAGGTGCCATACGGGCAAAGATGAGAGAGGGCGGAGAAGGGGAGCGTGCTGTTGGAGGCGCAGCACAGCGAAGGCGAGGAAGAGTGCAAAAGCGCGGTCCGCTGGGGCGGCTCGGGACCGCTGGGGTGCAGAGCGCGAGGTAGGACGGGGACGGGAGACAAGGTCGAGACGAAACTGAGCACCCACAGACGGAGGGCTCGAGTTCAGTCCTGGAGGGGACGAGGGTTCAAGAATGTTGAGCAGGGACGTATCAGTGGTCGGATCAATATCTTGAAGGCTCTCCAGGGGTCGAGTGTAATATCGATTTGAGGAGGACATTGGAAAAAGAAGGGTTGGTTCATAAATCACTGTGACAGTTCAGATGAGAGCTGATGGAGGCCCCTCCTGAAGGTGACAGCAACAGGGACAGAGCGAAGTCATTAAGACCATCCTTCCTCCAGTCTAAGGAGCATCTTTAATTTTTTCCTGATATCATAATATGTGCAATTAATGGGATGCTGTTGATTTTTATGCTTTGTTCAAAAGTGATAACAGTGCACTTTCCAATCCAGTCTTACAATGGTGGCTCTTAAAACTGAGGGACTAGGCCGGGCGCAGTGGCTCACGCTTGTAATCCTAGCACTCTGGGAGGCCGAGGCGGGTGGATCGCTCGAGGTCAGGAGTTCAAGACCAGCCTGAGCAAGAGCGAGACCGCATCTCTACTGAAAAAAAATAGAAAGAAATTAGCTGGACAACTAAAAATATATAGAAAAAATTAGCCGGGCATGGTGGTGCCCGCTGTAGTCCCAGCTACTAGGAAGGCTGAGGCTGGAGGATCACTTGAGCCCAGGAGTTTGAGGTTGCTGTGAGCTAGGATGACGCCACGGCACTCTAGCCCAGGCAACAGAGTGAGACTCTGTCTCAAAAAAAAAAAAAACTGCAGGACCAGAGTAATCAGGGGGTGATTTAACAGGGCTTTTGACTGGCTGGATGTGGACAGGAGGTGAGGGGAGGGTGCAGGAGCTGAGGATGCTTCAGGCGACTTCCAGATTTCTGGCTTGGGCAAATAAGATCCTTCAGCCAATTCGCAGACGTCTGAACATGCTGTTTCCTGACTAGAACGCTCTTCTCTCTTTTCCTTTCCTTGCCTGAACTTTAAAAACACTTTATCTGCCCTTCTTGCATGTCACAAACATCCTTCCCATTTGCGGGAATTATGAGGGTGCCTGGTCCGACCCTGGAACAGAGGCTCTGAGGGGAAAGACTCTCTCTTCCTCACACCGGCATTTCCCACAGGTCTGATAGCTGTAGGAGGCGCACAGTGAGCCTTCGACGAGTGGAAAAATGGATGAGTGAAGCAGCTAGATGAGCATAAATGTGGGTCCCCCACCCTCTGCATCGCTTCTACCCCCCCATCACAGGACAAAGGGGGATGGCTCAGTGCAAACCCAACCCCTCTCCTGGAACAACGTAAGATTTAACGCTTGGATGGGGGTAGAGGGTCAGGAATATTTTCCCCATGTACGGAGACTCTATCTCACTTTTCCTACAAAGGCGAACCCCCTGTAAAACTCTGCCTGGTCCTTCCTCCACGCGCATGTGTTGAGCCAACTCTGAAAGGAGGCCCTTCTCCCAGTGTCAGCCCCAAAAATGACACAGTCCTGCAGTGGGTTGGTACAGCATTCCCACATCTGAGCATCTTCCCATCCGGAAATGAGCTCTCTCTTCCCTACTCACCCAGCGCCAGTTATACCTTCATTCTCCTCAGGGAGACACTGGCTTCGGCCCCTGCCTTGACCGAGAAAGGCAGGATTGCAATTGAGAACTTCATTACATTAAACATGGCAATCACACTAAATGCTTGAAGAACAGAAGAGAGGTACGAAGTTTAGGGTGGGAGGTTGCCTTGGCTCCCAACCGTTACACCCATGGGGGTTAAACTTATCGAGACGAGAAACGGTGGCCCAGTTGGGATTCGCAGAGGAACAATTTTTTCATTTCATGGCTCAGAAACCGTGGGTTGGCGAATCAGGGCCAGCGGCATCTTAATCTATTCTGCTTTTGGATTTTCACCAAAATGGAGGAGAATATATTCCCCTGTCTGTGCTGATCCGGAAGGGAAAGGCTCTGAGGCCTCTAAATGAGCACATTTGGAAACCTCCATCCCCACACGGCCTTACTCGAGCCGAGACCTGCGTCATCCCCGCTCTCGGGTCTTTAGAGGTATGTGACCCTCGAAGCTGGAGCGTCCGTCTCCACAGCACGCACCGCACGCGGCCCCAGGGATGAAGGCGACGCTCCCCGGAAGGACCTGCTTGCTCCCGCTGGCTGAGGGAAAGGGGCCTCCAGCTCCCAGGACCCGGCCCCCATGCCTTGCCACCCCTCGCACCCGGGCCAGATTTGAGAGCCTTTGTTCAACTGCAGTCCTCAGAATACCACGTCTCTTCACTGGGGCTTCCTCGACCGAGCCCCGCCTGGCGGGTAGTTAACACCGCACAGCCCCAGTGAAGACAAGTCTGCTGCCTTCAGTTCGTGCCCCGGGGTGCATGACCTGATCTCTCAGATTAGCAGCCTCTCCCCAGCCACCCACTGAAGACATTAGTAACGCAACCTCCTTCAACAAATCCGGAGTGATCCTGCCTGCTGCTGAATGGGTCCCGTGGACGGGGCCCCAGGCTTCACCTAATCCTGGTCACCTCATTACAGGATGACGAAGGACGGTCCCATTACATCTGGTCCTAAATACATCCTCAAAGGGAGCTCAGTTCTGCAGCTCCCAAAGTATCACCTGGGCTCGGGGGGGCCTAGGCCTTGGCCGACAGAGCACCTGGGCTGCCTCATGTGACCGAGTGCCCTGGGCCCGGCCAGCGACCGGTGTGGCCCTAGCAGAGGAAGTGACTGCAAGGAATTCTGAATCCAAAGAAACCAGAACTTCGCATTCAGGAAATTTGGCTTTGGTCTAAATTTCTTCTAAGCCATTGTGTTAGAAAATATTAACTGCGTGTGTTCCATCTGGTTTCAAATTGGTTTGCTTGATGTGTTGCTGGACAAAAAATGTGTGTGTGTTTGGGATCATGGAAAGTTGTCGCGATCATCGGGCAGCACTCCTTCCAGGCTCCGCTGCGTCACCTCATTCGCTCACCCTGGCTCTCGGTTCACAGCTGGGCTCGCGGCCCTGGAGCAGGTGAGAGCAAAGGGTACCTGAGCTATTACCTGCCCAAAGACCAGAGGAAACGAAAGCGGCTCACCCGGAAACGGAGGGCGGTGACGGGGTCTAACGGCCCCGCAAAAGGCCTGGGAAGAGCACCCTGGCTTCACAGCCGTCCCCCCACTCCTGCCCCTGGGGTCCCTGACTTGGGCTGCGATTCTTCCTGAGAGCTTCCCTGTGTTCATCTCCTTCTCCCTTTCTTTTTTTCTTGCCTTCTTTGATCTTGTCCAGCTACCTGCCCTTGGTTTCATGCCTTAGCTGGTTTTCCTTTATCTAAGCCAAGGGCCATTTTCTCTCTAGCTCAGTGCTTCTTTCCCTGTAAATCTCAGGCCCCTTGTTTACAACATGAACATCTCGCCTTCATCCCAGTCCTCCCGCTGAGGCCCTCAGCCCTCATTGGCCTGGCTCAGGTGAGAATCAGGCCGCTAAGCACAGCTGACACTTACGCTGCACCTAAGAGCCAGGATGGTTGCACATGCTTTTCAGAAAATAACTCATTCAGCCCTCACAACTGTGCCGACAGGGACTACGATCACCCCATTTACAGGTGACCAAACCAAAGCCAGAGGGGCTCGATGACCTGCCATTGTCACAGCCAGGAAGCTGTAGGGTCAGGATTTAAACAAGGCAGACCTGGCTCCTAAGCCCAGACTCTGGCACCAGCACCACCGCCTCCCCCCGGACCTGCAAATCCTCCCGCCAGGAGGACTTTCTCAAACTCTCCTTCTTGTGTATATATGAATAAAACAGCCACGTGCCCGTTTGGTTTCCATGGGTTCCAACGTTAACTGCCCTGCCCGCCATGGACCAGGTGAGAATCACTGTTAGGCTCTGCCGGGCCTCTTGTCCGGCCTCTTGTCGGGCCCCACGCTTGTTTTTAAAAGTTGGGCTTGAATTCAGGTGTCGTTTGGCCTCCTGCAATTGGGTGTTCTGATGCAGGTGTCGTGCAAAGGTAGGAAGGGGGTCCGCCCCGGGACTTGCCAGGGGCGGGTGCAAAAGAGGCCAGACCTGGGGCGGCTCTTACCACGGGGGCGGTGAGCTTGCGTCTCAGGAGGATGTGGCAGGAGAACGTCAGCACGATGGCTACGGCGGACGCAACGGGGGCCAGGGCCGAGTTTCCACTTTGGACAAATCCAGCCTTCTCCAGCAAGTTTCTCTCCCTCCTTCTTATATCTGCAAAATAGAAGACAGTCCAAGCTGGTCTAATTCTGCACATCAAGAACCAGCATTAAGAAATGCACCCCCCGCCTGATCCTCCTCCAGAGGAGTGTGAGTGGCGCCTGTCGTGAAGCCGAAACAAGAGGAAGGGCAGGAGGCCGCAAGCACAAGCCCAGCCGTGCCAGGAGCTCGGTGCACGGCCGCGGCCCGTCCTGGGTGGGCTCCAAGGTCCCTCCCAGCCCTGACGCTCGGCACGTGGGGCCCCTGGGGGCCCAGGCACGCACTGTCAATGAACGGCAGACCAGAGGGGCGCTGAGGAGCACGGCAGAGTGGGGAGCACGTGCCTCAGCGAGGGGGCAGCCGCTCCTCAGTGCAAGGGGGCCTGGCGCTCCCAGACCGTCAACCATGCCAAAGTCTGAGATCCGATTTTTGCAAGACATCTCTCTACCTTTGAATGTTATAAACTCATTGAAAAAAAGTTTTTAAATACTGTACTGCAGGGGACAAACACATATGGCTGGCCTGAAGGCTGCTAGACGGGGGGCGCCTGCCTGGTGTCCCAAGAACAACCACAGAAACTCAAGAGCATTTCTGCCTTTCCCAAGTCCGGAAGATGCCCACGGCCCCGCGCTGCTCACGGGTTAAATTCCAGCCTCCTTCCCTGGTGTTTGTGGTCTTCGTCCCAATTCCAGCCTCGTCTGCAAAGCCCGTTCCCATCAGCAAGAGGGCAGCCATAGCTGTTCTTACCGAGTGCGCGCAGTAGAACGTCCCCGCCACTGTGTGCTGAGAGTGAGGCTGTCATTGTGCCCTTTGGGCGGGAGAGGAAACAGTCTTGGCAGGTTTAGCAACTTGCCTCTTAAGTGATCCAGGCAGGACTGGAGCCCGCTTCTGCTGGGATCCAAGGCTCTGCTACCCACGCGCCCTTCACCTAAAGAACACCCAGCCCCGCCTCTTCCCCAAGTGCACCCTCCCATCCCCACCTCCAGGCCTTTGCTCCTCCCTGGGGGCCTCCCCCAGCTCTGAGTCCAAATCCTTCCTGTTCTTTTGTCCCACCTGAAATCCACCTCCCCCAGGAAGTGTCGCCAGATCCCGCCAACCGAGTGTGCAGCCCTGAGGGCTGCTCTCCGTTCCTCTTGTGGCACTGTCCCCATTTCACCCTGCAGAGTAGCTGAGTCATGTGTTCACTCGCTCAGTGACTTGGAATCTGACGTCTACCATATGCCAGGTGCCGCGCTTGGTGCGGGGGAGTACAAGAGTGAACAGGGCCTCAGCCCACTTCCAGTGGGGGAAATAGATGAGAAAGAAGGAAAGAAACAATCAAATAATTACAAATTGTGTTGAGTGACAGGAAAGAAATGAGCAGGGTGAAGTGATTGGGAGGTAGGGTGTGGGCATGCGTGGGATCGCGGTCCAGAAGTCCTCTTTGGATGTTGAGAAGAGACCTAAAGCCAAGACAAAGTCGCCATAAACATCTAGCAGGAGAGTATTTCCACGGAAGTGAAACAGCAAGTGCAAAGATCCTGAGGCACGAATGAGAGCGACATGTTGTTCTAGAAACAGACCGCAGGTTCCAGGTCTTGAGCGGCATTATCCAAGGCTAGGGTAAAATGTGATGAGGTCAGAGAGGTCACCAGGGGCTAGATCACCTTGAACCTAATAGGCCAGGTGAAGGAATTTGGATTTCATTCAAAAGACCTAAGGTTGAACAATCTAAGTGTGATAAGCCACTGAAGATTTTCTGGCAGGGGAGAAACAGGGTCTGACTGACATTCTTAAAAGGTCGCCGTGGCTGCTGAGAGCACAACGGGCTGCAGGAGGGAGGGGAAGCGGGGGGAGCGCCTAGGCGCTCTTGCCACAGCCCAGGAGGGAGAGGATGCTGGCTCGGACTGGGACGGCGGTGGGACGGGGAGAAGCAGGCGGATTCTGGATATATTCTGCACGTAGAGCCAACAAACTTGTGGCCATTTTGAGTTTAGTTACCTCATCCCCCTTAATCTTAAAAGCAGGAATGTCTTCCTGACCGTTTGTGTAGCTCCGTGGCCTTGCACGTAGTAGGAACTTGGTACACATTTACTGAATTAAGCTGACGAGTTAAACTGAGCTGGGTTCAACGGGATTAAGTCAAATGGAATCAAATTTGATCGAATCAAATTAAATGGCATTGACGTGAGTTCAGAGTGTGAGGAGATGATTCTGGGTCCTCAGAGAGGGTCCCCTAGGGCGGCCGGGGTCCCGCCCTGGGGCACTGCCTTTGGCACACTCCCTGGAGCGCGATGCACAGTCAGCCCCAGTGGCGTGCTGGTGCGGAAGTGTAATTGGGGACCCAGAGAGTCAACTGTAACAGGGGTTCGGGTCATTAGCCAGGGAACCACCTGAGTCTATGTCAGCAATTATGTGAATGTCCCTGCAATTAGATTTGCATTTATATTTGATTGAAATGGTTTCCATATCATCTTAAAAAAAACAAAATAAAACTGCAAATGCATCCTCATGTCTTCCCAAGGGATGTTGAGTCAGTGGGCACCCAAACACGGTGAGCGTGCGTGTGCGTGCGTGCGTGTGCGTGCGTCTGTGTGTGGATACTTCTAAGTCAAGGAAATTGCCGAGACAGCCTTTGCCCTGCTCACAAGGTTTCAGTAGATTATTTTTGTGAAGGTTCTCGGTCAGTACCAGGATCCACGTGGGAAACCACGCGTCAGTCACCCTCGGGTTCACCAGAACAGATGCCTGGGTCTACTAAAAAATCTCCAAATCCTTTGAAAATCCTTTGACCTACAGAGCAGCTCAGCGGGTCCCCTCAGCCTCCTTCTAGAACGCCTGGCCCCGGGAGCCTTAAGAGCCCCTTAGACAAGCACATCCTACACGGGAAGGGGTTCTTTCAGCAGCTGCTCGCATCCTACCTCGGATGGTGTTAGTAAAAGATTTCTCCCAGGCGTACATTTTAACCAGCTTGATGCAGGTCAGAAGCTCATTCATCGTCTGAATTCGCTTGTCTGTCACCGAAATTGCTGATCTTCGGAAAGCTGAGCTGAGCTTAGCCATAAACATCTGAAATCAAGGTACAAACACTGTGTTCAGAGAGAATTGCTGAGTTGCAGTTGGCCTAAACATCCAGGGATCGGAGTCTGTGTGCCAGGAAAGTTCTAAGAAAAGTTCTCAGCCCTTCCGTTGAGTGGTGGCAGCCGACACGGTCAGTCTGGCGACGCCACTGGGCATCGGGCAGGCGGCGCCGATGCGGGAATTGCCAGGGTGCGATGGGAGTGCTGGCGACTTTGGCAAGGTGCAGAAGCACGTCCCCCTCCCCCAGAGCAGCCAAGTTTTTCAAAAACTGCCCTGTGCCGGCAAAGGGAGGCACACCTGAGAGCCCAGAGCGGGGCACAGGCTTCGGTCCACACGCGGGGAACGGAGCCTTCTGTCCAGCTCGGAGACAGTGTGCGCCAGACACGCGGCTGTAAAGCGGTTTCCGCGCCAAGGCCTGCCGTTACCTGGATGGGGACGAAGACGACATACACGGACTTCCCGATGAGAGCCGTGGGCCCCAGAGTGAAAAAGGCGTACACCGCACAAACGACCATTAGCATAGGGATGGTGGCTGGCAAGGGACAAAACAGGGCAGCTTCAAACAAGGAATAGCTGTCGCTCGAGAGTACATTGAGCACCTGCGAAGAAAGCACACGGGGCCAGGCTTCGGAAGAGCCGCTCGAGCGTGTCGCCGTCTGAAGGCTTCCAGGACGGACGAGGCGTGCAGAGAGGGAAGAGAAGATCTGCCTTGAAGGGGAGGGAGCCCTCAGGGCCCTGCCATGGCGAGTTTACGGGTCCCATTCTGGGGTGACTACGAGAGGCCCGTCTTTTAGGACTGAGAATCCCAGTGAAGAAAGACTTAAAGGTCACGCCACCAACCAGGGCACGCAGGGGAGACTGCTGCTGCCGGCCCTGTGTCCGTTTCCCGGGCCTCCTCCTGAACACGGCTCTGCCTTATTCAGGGCAGAGCGGGCAGCTAGAAGACTGCATTTCCCAGCCTCCTGTGTGGAAGGGGTGTGGCCATGCCACCATGTTAAGCCAACGTGTCCACTGGGACTTTGGGGATGAATTCTTAAAGGGGACTGGCTCAACCTGGAAGGCACTCCACTTTTGTTCTCTCCCACCTCCTGCCAGCTGTCCGAGACACTGTTGGGATGGCTGGAGCCCTGGCATCCTCCTTAAACCATTATGGGAGCCATGTGCTAGGATAGCGAGGAGGAAAGATGGAAGGCTCTGGAAGCCCCTGGACTGCCTGCTGGGATCCAGGCTCCTTTGACATAGGGTGAAATGAATTCATCTTGTTCGATCCACTTTTATTTTGGGTTTTCTGTTACATGCAGCTGGGTCCGATCACTACTGACAGAGGAAGCGCTGGAAGAGCGGGTGTAAGAAAGCAGCCAGTCCTTCATCTTACCTCGCACCTCCTGGGGCCCTTGATTAGGAAACTATCTTTTGGCTAAGTGATGAGGATTTATTGCTAAAGATTAAGGGCTTAAGAAGATGTCAACTCCGACGTCCAGCAGGCATGGTCCTTATCGCGGCTTTGGCGCCCGCAGTACTACACAGTTGGAATTATTGGACCCATCAGTCAATCCGTTTCATTACGTGCCTACAGTGTGTTCTGCACTGCTTCGGTGACCTCACTGGCAAGCAAAAGGATTGGGCAAAGTCACCCCTGTGCCCTGTTCCAGCTGGAACTGAACCACCCCGTGTTCCGAGTGGCCGTCACCTCCCTCAGCAGGGGGATGACACACGATGGGCAGGACGCAGACGAGCAAAGGGAGGCAGACGCTCCGTCCAAGCAGCACATCTCACACGCATCCAAAACACTCGGGACTAATTTCTTCTAGCGCTGAACCTTTTCTGGCCCAGCTTACCTCGCCAACGGAGATGTGAGTCAAGGTCTTGAAGGACACCAGGTTCTCAAACACCAGGGTGGAGAGGGCCACCTTCAACTGGATTGCTGTGCGGTAATTTATGGCCCAGGCAAGGGCCCAAAAGAAGACTTTGGCAAACTCGGTGGCGAACAGGGCTGCGCACAGGCCGATGCCAACCCAGACGCTCCCGGAGGTGCTCTCTGTGTGCTGCAGGATTTGGTGAATGAGAACCGTCTGCAAAACAGTGCAGCGGGGAGGGGGGCCGCCGGGGGTGGTAGTTGGCATAGGAGGCCTAGATAATGTCAGCAAGCTGACTTTATGAGGCAAACTTTTTAATTAATTTCGGTGGCTGCTGCTGTGCTTGACAAGGACTAGCTGTATGAAAATTCGCCCCCAAGGAGCACAAAGATAATGACAACGCACTAAATTCACCAGCTCGTAGAGAAAGCAACTAATGGCATTCTTTGCCAGGCTGGGGACCAGGGGACAAAGCAGAGGAAGGCCCCCGACTCACCGGTCCTATGGCTGCCATGACGATGCACAGGATGTTGGCCACAAAATCCACCAAAACACGTGTCCTCTGGAATTTCCAGACCACTCGGACCAGAGAGGCCTTGTCAGGACCCACCTTTCCTACCTCTTCATCCCAAAGGACACAGAATCTGTAAGGAAAGGACAGGAAGAGAAAAAGGGGTCGATACTTCCACTTGCTGTTTGATGTGAGCCTGGTGGACAGACCCTTGCCAGGTGCTTAGTGCGGCCCTCCTCCCTGGCAGCGGTGCCCCGAAAAGCACGCTGGTTCTCCTTTCTTCTTTTCCTGCGCAGGGGGGATCCAGGAGGGTGCGGGCAAGGCCTAGGCACGAGCTGGCCTGACCACGTGGTATTTGGGCCCTTGCCAGGCCTTCCTGTCCTCTGACCACCGCCCATCTCTGCCTCACTCTCAGCTCTGATAAGAAGACAGGGGCAAGAGAGAAGCTCAGAGAAAAATCTTCCCCAGGGCGGAGAGGACATGTGTGCAGCGAAGAGCTGAGAGAAGGCCGGAGTGACGGGAGTGCGGTGCGCCAAGGAGAGGCGCTGGCGCCGGGAGCGGGGCCGGCCGGAAGCCCAGGGGACCTCAGGGCCTCAGGAAGGTTAGGTTTCATTCCACACGCAAAGGAGGCCACCACGGGTTTTTAAGCGGATGTGACAAGATGATTTTGCTGAAAGACAGTCGGCCCTGCTGCGAGGGTGATGGATTGTGGGGAGATCAAAGCGGAGAGCAAGAGGCGCAGCGTATCAGCATGGAGGCGGCAGTGGGTGGGAGGAGAGGCGGATGGAGAGTGACAGGACTACCTGTGCGTCAGACAGGGGAGGAGAAGGGGGTGGAGGACGGACCCCAGGTCCCTGCCTGACCACGTGTGTGGCCGGAGTTTACAGAGACAGGGAAAAGAGGAGGAGAACCGTGTCAGCCTGGGGCTGGGGAGCAAGAATAGGCACAGCTTCAGGAATGACATGCTCATGCTCGTGAGGAGTCCAGGTGTGGCTGTCCAGCTGGAGGGGCACGCGGATTCGGGTCTGGAAGGGAGACATGGGCTGCAGAGGGACATGCGACGGAGGTTTCAGCTCATGCTTGCGTCTGAGCCTTTGGAGAGGAGATCACGGGAGAGAGCACCGCAGGGGAGAGAGGAGGGTCCGAGCTGACGCTGGGCAGATGACAGGAAGCACACGGTCGAGGGAGCAGCACTGGCCAGAGGGTGGAGGGAAAATCCGGTCGGGGCTCCAGGGACGCCGGGCAGCTCTCTCAGTGCTCCCTGGCAACCGTCTCCAGAGTGCAGATTTCGGAAATTACCACTAGCTGAGACTTCTCCAGGGCACGGATGAGGGAAGTACAAGTCTAGAAGCAATTGCAAGGCTGTGACTAACACCCCCAGCCCATGTCCACTGCTCTCAACATTATAGGTCATCAGAGCCACAGACGTCAACACAGCTGCCGGGAAGGATGAAGTGGACGTCTTTATAAACCCTTTGCTGAAAAGAGCAAAGCCATCAACAATTATACGGTAGGCTTCGTTTTCTGTTTAAATTTCTAAACACATGACCTATGAGTCGGGAGGAAGAAGAGTTTCGGTCTGTAGAAGATGGTGGCCCAGGGCATGCTTAATCAGAGTGGAAAAATTCCGGACAGAGCCGCACTGACAGTTTAACAGTGCCGGCCTCTAGGGAGTGGAGCAGGAGCGGCAGAGATACTTCCACTGCTTGAACTTCTGTCGCTTTAACATTTTTACAATGAATATGAATTAGGTTGGACCAATGACATTTACATTTTTACAAGTCAAAATTGTTAAATATTGGCAGTTTCGTTTGGATCGACCTAAATATATTTTGCGATATGAAAGTCCAACAACAGTTTTTAAAGGATCCCAGGTGGGGTCTGGCCAGCACAGAACAAGCCTCTGTCCTGATGGTGCCTCCCACACGCCAGCCGACAGCCCAGCCAGATGGTCCTGAGCCACGGGCTGCCGCTCGCCCCACCACTCTGCCAACACTCACCTCCCCGGAGCCTGGGTCGAGAAGGTCAGGCAGTCCAGCCTAAGTCTCAGAGAGCAGCCACCGAGAAGGGTCCCCAGCACCCGTGGGTGTCAATTACCATCTCGGGGAAATTGGGGAGCATACAAAAGGGCTTACAGGACCCCTCCCTAGGGTGGGCTCCTCTTCAGAGGTGACCCAGGTGAACCTGGTACCTTTTGGCGTTGGTGTCAGATGAGTCATACGGCAACAACGGGGGCAGGGCGTCCACGGTCAGCGTGTGCTTGTAGCCTTCAAGCATCACCGGCGTGAGCCAGGAAAACGTGGCGAAGGAGAGCAGCCCCGCGTCGTCTACCCCGTTGGGCGCCAACCTACGGACAACGGGGTGCTCGGTGCACCAGGGGTCGGGATCGCTGCCCCGACTCTCTCTGGCTTGGATTTTAACCACGGCAAGACCCGCAGCCACACGCAGGGCCCGTCACTCGCACCCGTCAGCGCTGTGAGCCACCGTGTGCTGGGGCCAGCTGGTGAGAGCCGAGTGCTAGACTTTCAGTAATTTTGCACGTCAGTTGTTAAACAGCCAATATTCAAAACCAAGTTACACACATTTAAATAAATTACTTACAGGCAAAGGCAATAACACTCAAACTCATCACTTCCTAATGGCTCTGTGCTACGTGTGCCCTTGGGGCTATTTACAGCCGCGTAGCCCGCAGTGGAAATGCCGCAGGATGCTGTGCGCTGTGCGGCTGCGCCCCTCTTCCCAACTCTTCCTCCAGGGATGCCAGGTCGCTGCTTGAAATCGGCCCAGGTGGGCGTATTCGCACCATAAAAATGGGTGAGTGCTACACACCAACGGTGCTTCCCGTGAGCCAGGGGCCGAACAGCCGCCGGTGCTTGAGCCGCCCCACGGGAAAGAGGGCGCCGGCTTTGTTCCACGAGTGAGCAGACCCAGACCTGCTAGGTGAGCTCCAGGCGGACCGGCGCGTGCCTTTTGCAAGGCGGCAAGGGCTGGGGCACGCTCACCGCCTATCGCGAGGACCTCCGTGGGCAGTACGTGCAAAGAGCCACGCAGACATTGGCTGTCGGGCGAAGGAGAAAGACAAGGGGGCGAAAGGGAGGGGGAAGGAGAAAGGGAAGAGGAAGGAGAGGAAGAAGAGGACAGGAGCAGGACAAAGAGGAGGAGGAAGAAGATAAAAAGGAGGAGGAGGAGGAAGAGGAGAAGTAAGAAGAGGGGAGGAAGACATGAAGAAAGAAAAGGCAGAAGAGGAAGAAGGAGAAAGAACAGGGAACAGGAAATGAAAGAGGAGACCATGTGCTTGCCCCTGAGAAATGAGCCATCTACAACAGAATGAAAGAGACAGAGTCTCGCCCGCCAACTACCGAGCGCTCGTGTGTCCCGGGCCCTGCAGGAGCTCCAGGTGTGGCAGCTGCGGCCCCGACCTGGCGGTGGAGCTCCCGGGCTGCGTCCACCTGCGTGTCTGCCATCCTCTTCCACCGTCTGCCTCAGAGCCTTTTCAGGGGCATGAGTGCGGGGGGTCACTGCCCCCAGGGCAAACCCTGACTCGTGGGGCATCCACAGAGCCCCCACCTCACATCCTTCGGGTGGAAACTGGACCCTTCCTAGGAGGAGGAGAACCAGTCCTTTCTGTCCGGCAGTGGCACTGACACCACACCTCACGCTGCCCTTGCCTCCTGCCCTGCCTCCCTCCAAATCTTTCCTCCTGCTTCTGCGGATCACCTCCCAAACGAGCACCCGCATCCAGAGTCTGGACAGAGGCTCTGCGTTTGGGAGAACCCGTGCTAAGACAGTACTCATGAGGTACCATGTGTCTGGCACATCGTCAAAGTTTCCGAAAAGGCGGCTTCCCCGATAAAGTCATGCATTACCTCATACAATCCTCACAACGACCCTGTGAGCTGGGGAGCAGGGTAATGTTACAATCCCATTGCATAGACAGAAACACCGAGGCTCAGAGAGGTTAGGGTACTTTCCCACATCTGCTGCAAATGTGAAGACATCTCCCACTGCTAAGTGGCGGAACAGGAATGTAAACCCACTGCTTGCTGACTCCAGGGCCCCATCCTTCTCTTAAGCACGCTCCAGATTGCCTCTCCACAAAGCAATTATAAACCGAGCTAAGACCGTGGCTCGTTAGAGGTCTCCTGTGGCTATGGACAGTAGCCCACGTCCTCACCCTGCCACCTTCACCTCTCACTGCGGAGGGCTCGCGTGTGTATGTATCTGTAGTCCAGAGGTGCTGGGAAAGGGTGGTGCAGTGTCACCTCACTTAAGAGATGTCACTTGGGCCTTCTGTTGCTCAGAAAACAAGCCACAGGGCCCTTTCCATGTAGAAAAGGCAGGATTTTATAATGTTACGGTGAACGTAATGTTGATAACATACACAATAATACAATATAGTGCCATGTGGAGCACGTGAGTTTGGAAATCATGCTGCCTGAACTCCTATCCTGGAGTTCAAAAACAGCCCCACTCTCTCCCCCCATCTGTATCTCAGCCCCTTGGAACATGATCTTGCAGCTCGTTCCATCAGGAGGTGGAGTCTGTTGCCCCACACCTTAAATCTGAGCTGACTCGTGACCCGCTTTGGCCAGTAGACCGCAGTGAAAGGAGTGTGCAGTGGTGGGGCCATCTGAAAGCCTACCACGCGACCCCGTGGGCAAGCCAGAGCCCGCTGGAGTGAGTAGCCTGCCCCCAGGTGCCCCACTCCACAGCCAGCAGCCGGCCAACCCCCAGAAGCACAGCCGCCTTGCTGGCCGCAGGTTCCTGAGCAAGCGGGGTTGAGACTAAACGAACCAGCCAGCTGAGCTCAGCCCAAGTTGCTTTATTTTATGGGTCACCCATAAAATTGTAAGCTAAACAAGTGGCAGTTGTTTTAAGCTGCAAAGTGTTGAGGCAATTTGTTACAAAGCAAGGCTACCTGGCAGACCTTAGGCAAGTTACTTAACGTCTCTGTGCCTCAGTTTCCTCACCTATCAGATAAAGATAACAACAGTTACTTCCAGGGCGGTTGTGAAGAGTAAATGGGAAGGCGTTTGTAAAGCACATGGACGGTCCTGGCACGTGGAAAGCTCTCCTTAAACATGAGTCACTACCTCCCTCTCTCTGAAGGACAGGAGGAGGCAGGAAGTGGAGCTGCTGATGAGTGAACGAGTGGACGGTGGACAGACGCAGGACAAGCAGAGGAAGCAGCGCATGGGGAGGGGGGCGGCGCCCACTCTCCTGGTGGGCCGGAGACTGTTCCGAGAGGTCGTTCCCTGGCTCTCCCTCCAGTCCTCCTCCCGACTTACCTTGCACAGGGTCGCACTGGGATCATGGTCTTCAGGCTGGGGTCATATCTCTCCACAAAGGTTCTCCGCTGGCCTCGCCGGTCCAGATCCAAGATAAGGTAGGCGCCTTCACCCACCATCCTGGTGGCAGTATGGAGCCCTGGGCTCTTGGCCTAGGGACACTTTCAGTCTGCAGTGGAGAGATGGGGAAGGCTTGCTGAGAGATGAAGACATCTGGAATGGGCTCAGGCAGCCCCATCTCCACCCAGACCAGTTCCCTTGCTTTGACGCCTCAGAACTGGCGTCACCAATTGGCCTTTTACATTTATGGGGGAGCGTGGCCAGGAGCCCCACCAGATCCCTTCACTCCACTCTGAGGCTTCCTTATTAGTAAGGACATTTGGTTCTTGCTTCCTCTTCCTTTGGCATGCTGGGTTGGCGAGAGCAGAAAGGCCTACTGTGGGTTTTCCGTTGGGAGCCAACTCAGTGGCCAAGGCTGAGTTCCGACCCCATAAAAGAGCCGCAGGAAAATGGATTTTCTGTCTCAGAGTGACCCAGAGTGAGTCAGTCACACTCGCGCCTCTTCTTTCAGAACCCGTCAGACACCCGGGAGCCTGTACATCCACATCCTTTCCACCCTGACATCCGGCAGTCCGAGAACTTCAGCAAAGCCACCCACAGGACCAGCCACATCTGGACAGGCTTCACACCTCTGTGACCACTGCCCTGGTGAAAACCAACAACCTCGGCGCAGAGGACGCTTTTTAGCATGTCTGTGCAGCACACACGCCAACTCCTAATGACTAATAAAACCATGGCATGGCAGGGCTGGAAGTGTCCCCAGATGCAATCTTTGACAAGTTTCTCATTATAAAGAAGAGGAAACAGGCCCAGAGGCAGGAAGGACTTACTCAACAGTGGATAGAGAATGAGCTGGACGTTCTCATTCAGGGAAGTGTAGGTACAGGGAAGCAGCTGGTCCCTCCTTTCTCCAATAACCCTGCAAAACCCTTTGCTGCTGTTACACTACGAGAGGCACTCCTCTGGAGTAATATGGTTTGGTTTTTTTAAAAAAAAAATTGAAAAACAAAAGGGCCTCAACCCAAAAAAAAAACCCCCAAAAGGAAAAAAAAAACAATATAGTCAGCTGGAGGAGGCACATGTTTTACAGGCAGTAGTTCTGCTCAAAATCTCTTCATTCGATTAACGTATATCACTGATGTGAACACCACAGATGCAGCTCAAGATTCCTAATTCAGTGAGAAGTTACCAAACAGGGAATCTGAAATTTCCGGCCAACCTGCATCCCCCTCTACACCTCACCCTCCATTTGCACCATCTAACTGCGCTCTGGCCATACTGAACATCTAACCTCTCCTTGAACAAACTGCCAATTCCTCCCGCCGTGGGGTCTTTGCACTCACCACTGTCACAACCTGGGACAGTCTAATAGCCCTTTCATCACTTGACCAATTCCTGCTCAGCCTTCGAGGCTCGGTCCAGACATTTCCTTTTCTGGGAAAACTTCCCTACTTACTTTTCTATTTCCCCAAACAGACTGTGGGCCTCACAGCTGTATTTCCCATACCTAACACAGTCCCTGGTACACCATAGGTGTTCAATACATATTTTTTGAATGAAAGAATAATGATGAGCATGAGAGAAGTCTAAGACAAAAGTCCTCCCCCAATAAGGGGAGAAATAACACACACTAAAATGTAAATTATAATATAGTGTTAGCTCTAGGAAATAAAACACTGAAAAAAAGAGTTAAAGCTAAGAAGTCAATCAAGGAAATAAAATGAAACACTAATAGATTAACCCAAAAAATGTAGGCAAGTAGGAACAGAGGGATAAATAGAAGACAAATAGCAAGCCAATAAATTGAAACTCAACCATATCAATAATTGCATTAAATATAAATGGACTAAATATTTCAATTAAAAAAACAAAGACTGTCAGGCTGAATATAAAAACAAAATCAGATGATTTGCTGCCTATGAGAAGTATATTTTACATATAAAGACACACATAGATTGAAAGTAGAAAGGTGGAAAAGGAAAGCCAAGTTTATCGTAAGAGGTAAATACCAAGAGATATGTCTATGATCTTAGGATAGGGAAGGATTTCTTAAAGCAAATTCAAACAAGTCCAAAGTAAAAGCTTAATAAATTTTACAACATTGAAACTATAAGTAACTATTAATCAGAAGACATAATTTTTTTAGAGAAGCAACATGCTAATATAAATGTGATGCATTTAACTGCAAAGAATTGGTGCACAAAATTTATAAGGAATTCTCAATACATCAACAATGGAAGGACAAGCAATTGGAAAAGTAAGCAAAAGGCAATTGACAGATGACCCAAGTTAAAAAAGCTCAATCTCTAAGTACCAGGAAGTATGAATTAAAACCACAATCACAATAACAGCCATTTCTCATTCTTCACGTAGGCATTATTAAAAAGCCTAAAAATTGTGAGTCTTGGCATATGTGTGGGGCACAGCAGCTTTTAAACCCTGTTGGTGGGAATATACATTGAGCACCTAATTTGTAAAGCAATTTGGCATTACCTAGACAAGTTAAAAATCATCTTACTCACATAGGCAGCAATTATCCTCTTAATTGTCTATGTGCCCTGGAGACATTCTGCAGCGGAAGCAGTCACATACAGAGTGGCCACAAACCTCGAGGCTCCCTCCCACTCTCCTCCGAGGTTCCCCCCACCTTGCTGGCCTTCCTTGCCTCATACTCGCCGGCGTCGACACTGAAGTTCAATCGAGGAAAGCACAAGGTAACAGTCCACAGAGGATGGAGCCTCATTTAAAATACCTTTTAAAATATCCAAGGATATCTGTAGCAGCTCCGCTTATACCTTCAGCACCCATGAATAGAAAAATGGATGAATACATTGTATAATGTGAACACAATATTTTACTATTTGACACTAAAAATGAATGAACTAAATCCATATATCAACCTGTGTGAATATCACACATGATAAATTGAGAGGGGGAAAAAACGAGTTGCAGAAAAGTGCATACACTCTGGTACCATTTGTATAACGTCCACATACTTTCAAATCAATAATATATTTTATTTACCAATAACTATATCTGTAGTAAAATTTCACTACTCCAGGTACTGATGTACTCCAAGTACACGGTGACTTTTATT